ATTGGACCGGTCCCAAATCCATATGTCTTTCCTGTCCAGGAAATACAAATAAGGAACTTTCCAGAGTACAGGTTTAGGATATTGTACTCAATGTGTTTCACATTGTAAAACGAAGGTGATTAAACGAAACATGATACATGAAAACTGAGGACAATTGTATGTAACTGATTATAAAGAATGCTATTTGGGATGAATGTGTGCTATGTAAGCCTCTTGACAAGATCTGATGCCTGAACTGGTGCCTATTTATTGTATATCTAACAGCAGAACCACACCCCTGCTCTCAAAAAAGCTGAAGCAAACAGGTGCCCTTCCATGGTTGTATGTAGACCGGTTAATCTCAAGGCCCCCTAAATATATATGTCTGAAGTGTCCAAAATCCATCTCAGTAAGGGATGATTACCCATTCCAACACCTCTATGCTGACCCTAAGGAGACTGTCTCTTATGGTAGGTTTATCTCACTTACAGACACACACAAACACACACAAGCATGCAAAAATATGGTATTTGATCTCAAACTGCCAAGGTTTTTGAGATATCTATAGAAACACTCTACATAGAATATAATCCATGTAACTGTTACAAAGAAAGGACATATGCATTTGTTATCTGTTGATTATGAAGGAGTTTTGTATAATTTGTCTTGCTCAATTGTGGCACTCATTTAAAGTGGGAGTCAGATTATGACATTAAATAGCAAAGGAGGATGAAACGGGGACGTTTTGTTCTTTCACTATAAGAATTAACCCAAACCTTTGCCTTTTGACTGAGAATGCTTATGCTGATTTTCACGCTCATAAAATTATTATCTGAATACTTATAAATTATGCTTCAAATATACAAGAAATCACCAGCTCACAAATTGAATATATTGTGCACTATAATGCAGACTGCTGTTAAGTACATTCATTGACAACTTTACACATAGGTGTAGGCATAAATATGTGGCAAGGCAAAGCACAACAATAAACTGTTTATATTTTCCATAAGTTTTCTCAGCCGGTGTTGCTGCCGTCTCTCCAGCTGAGAGCAAAGAGCCACATATGGGAAACACCAGCACCAAAGTAATTTCTCCACTTCATATTACGGCTAACAACCTCTCTTAGCTGTGAATATATTCACACAACAGCATGACTCCCTGTCCCTTATTTTTACAATATTAGCCTACACCCTCAACATACAACAGTGTCTGGCCTTGATTTCACTGCTTTTAAAATTTTATTTAAATTATAATTTCTCAGTTTGACATTGTCTATGAAAAATTTTTGCTAACTTAAAGATGAACTACACACAATGTTTTCTGAATTTTAAATTTTGTCCTTAACATGTTCAGTGGAAATTCCTTCCTTCCTTCCATCCATCCATTCAAGTAGAAATTCCTTCCTTCCTTCCATCCATCCATCCTTCCATCTAGTGGAAATCCCTTCCTTCCTTCTTCAATCCATCCACTATCCTAGTGTAAATTCCTCCCTTCCTTTCTTCCTTCTATTCATCCATCTAGTAAAAAAGTAAACCATCCATATAGTGGAAATTCCTTCCTTCCTTCCCTGGATGGGATGCTAGTTCAGAGGAAATTATGCATATAAACTATGAGAATGTGATACAACTGCAACCTTTCATGCTTTAGGAAATACTCTGCTACGGGGCCTCCTGACTGCCTCAGTAAGTCAAACAGCGACTAAAGGATCCAATGACGGAGACGGACGCGCACTTCAGAAAGCGGTGGCAGCCTCACGGTCAGACTAACGGATGCGTGGCGCACATACTTCTCCACCACCTTGATCCTGGCAGGCGATGTAGGACACAGCCTCTCTGTCTCTCTCCTGAGCCCCTCTCTGACGCTTATAGAAGCTCGCTATAAAAAGAAACTGCCACACAGCGAAGCCCAGTGACTCCTCAAACAAACTTACACATATGATTCACGGCCCCGCTTTGGCCTCGAGGGCCCGTGGCGTGACGGAAAAAAGCAGCACGGAAACAGTCACCTGTCGAAGGATGCGGAGGTCGTAAGCAACCAGTCACGCAGCACCAACAGGAACAAGCAAGCTGCACTTAAGTCTACTGCTTGGCACATGATCGCTGTGGGCAGAGATTCCCTTTCTGCAGCTCTGAAATGACTCAAAGGTAAACACTCTCCTCCTGAGCCTCACAAAGCCTCCAAGTAAAGATTTTCATGTACTAATGGATGTCCGTCAGCGTGCAGGACAGAAGGTGATCCGGCCTCCTATGAGATGACCTGAGTTAGTGTACAGGGGTACCCACATCATATTGTCAGAGTGTAGGTACCTGGTACACTGTTTGGTGGATTGCAGTGGATGACTGAATGGGAATGTAAATTGAGTGAGGAATCAGAATCTAAACATACAGAAGCTCTGTGACGACGATAAGACCACTCTAGGTTTGACTAACAGCATAACCAATTATGCTAGTCAACGTAGTGGGGCTGGTTTGATTGGGGGGGTGGAGCCCATCACAGGCAGCATACAGTACAAGGCTGGAAGGTGCCCAGGCCACATGTTATCATAAACTACATACAATTTAGAGACACCAGTCAGGCTAGCTACATGTCTTGGGACTGCGGTAAGAAACCCGTGTGACACAGAGAGAACATGCAAGGAACACAGGCAATAAAAAGGGTGAGACTGAAAGCCTCAGCCCTGGAAGAAAGAGGCAACAGTGCTAGTCACTGAACCACCGTGCACCGTGCCACCCTGACCTAATATACATAAGCAAATACATTTTTATCAGGTCAGATTCAATCATACATCCTCCCTATTATTCGAGCAATCAGTACATGATGAAACTCAAAATGTATCAGAAGACTGAAATCTTACACAAATTCTCTCTCTCATTCCAGTCACAGCCTCTCCATAAGGAATCTATACAGTAACCTGAAATCTTTATGAAAGCAATAACAGCACTATGGAACAGACTGGAAAGCTACATGCTAGGCTAACGCACCCCTACAGGCACGACGCTGGGTAATCTGCCAGTAATGAATGGCTTCCTTTGGCTTCCTGCAGTATCATTTTGAAAGATACAAACTTAATCCACGAGCTCAGAGGGAGCAGCAGAGGAATAACACTCAACCATGAGGTACAATTATCTATCTTCAACAATTTTTTTTCTGGTTTGTTGCTGTGGAATCAGACCTCCACTAACTAGTTTAAAAATCCTTTTAAATTCAGCTTATGTCAGTCATCACACTGACGTTTCAATATTCCTCCTGCGTTATTTTGGTCTGCCAGAAGGGCTACAAAAACAGAACATTTAGTTTAATTTGGCTTAGAGAAAGCAAACGCATAACTTGGAAACTATCATGGAAGCTAAATTGGTCCAAAAAAACGACATAAAGGCTAGGTGCACCAAAAAAAGTAAGAATCCGACTGGATGAGAGGAAGACTGGACAATATACAGTTTTTAATATCGTGCTAAAGTACCCTAAGTCATAAAAAAGCTTTCCAAAGCATGACTAATCTTGATGTATTTTAAATCACAGCAATGAATGGTCACCCCTGCAAATGTATATCACAGATTTTAAATGCACAATAATGTTGAAATGCCTGCTACAGCATGCTTAGCATGTTAGCGCATCCAGCTCACAGGGTTGGGGGTTCAAGTATCACCCCTGAATGTGAGGAATGTGCCCCCCCCCCCCCCCCCCCCCCACACACACACACACACACACACACATACATTTCCTCTGGGTACTCCAACTTCCACCTGCAGTCCAAAGACAATTAGGTGCACTGGCATCTTTAAAACGCCCATAGGTTACGTGTGTGCGCCCTGCCATGGACTGGCATCCCTTCTCAGATATTCCCCTGCTAAGTGTCCTATGCTGCCTGGCACGACCTCCAGCCCTTGTGGCCCTGTGCAGTGAGAAGATGCTAAACTGGCACTGAGAGTCCAAGTCCTGTCATGTCTAGAAGCACAAGGCACCCTCTTACATGAGTTATCCTTTAAAAGATCAGCGAATAAAGCTGTAACAGGTTTTAATTAAACTGTACAGCTGTTGGAATTTGTTTATCACACACGTTATTAGGATGAATAGTATCATCTCTGCATGGCATTGACCTTTGAACTGCAATCATGTGACCCTCCATAGCAGAGACAAAACACTCCTAGATCTCTCTCCCATAATGCTGCATTTTCATCCATAACACAACTGTGAATTCCTCCCCTTCCCCCATTCACTTATTCCCCTTACCGGCATTTTTCTGCCGTTTACCCTACACATCAATTTAGCATTTTTTTTGTCCTTTTTTGGGAATGAATAGTCCACAGCATTAATAGGCTGCACTCCCCCCAAAGCCTCATTGTTTTTCTGCACACACTGGGCCCTCAGCTGTCCCAGTGTACTGGGCTCTGTCCCTTACAGCGACAAACTCATCTTTCCTGGGGTATAAATAGATAACAATGCCAAACACACGCAGCAGTCCCTGTCCATCTTCTCACCGTTACCAAAAAAAAAAAGAAAAAGAACTTTCAGAGAGTGAGCAGGCTACATGGAAGAGGTCAAAAAACATAAGAAGTAGCACAGACATTACATTAGCAATGAGCTGACAATGAAAGAAATCAGTGACATTGTTGACTTGTTAAAAAAAATATCCCATGTGAAGACAGGCGGCCGAATCAAAGGAGGAACAAACACACGTGGATAATTTCCAGAAAGACAAGATAGAAGTAGGCTTGATCACTCTGCAACGGCAAAGCCAAACAAGGCAAAATGGAGTCCTTTGAAAAGTAGGACAAAGTAGTTGGGGAATTCAGTGTTTAAAAATATTCCATAGTCACCGGGCTTAGTGCTGTGTCTGCCACGACGTGGAATGTCATCCGAGCATGGTGACACAACAAGCAAAGGTAGGAGAAGCACAACAAACTAAGTTATACATCAAGCAGACGTTTCTGTATAGAGAGAAGGGTTAATCATTTCGATTAATAGTTAAACTGTAAGGTGCCACTGCAGCCTAAGTCCTAGAATAAAGTGTCACTTACTGTCCGCAGGAACTGAATCTCCTCTTCCCCCTCTCCACCCTCTGCCATGCTCTCCTTCCAGGTAGCCGCAGCTCCTCAGGAGAAGTCAGGAAATTCTCTCTGCTTCCCTTCCTTCCTCGATGGCGTTCTCTCTCGACGCGCTTGTGTGCTCAGAGCCTCTCTGTGCTGAAACGCATGAGATCGGTGGCTCCTGCAGCGTCGTGCCGGATTGTGACGGGCAGCTCCACTCTCTCGCCTGCTCTCTCCTCCTGGCAGCGGGGAGGCTGTGAGGGGGCGTGGCCTATACCTTGGTACACGTTCAGACCCCTCCCTCCACGTGCCTGCATTTGTGGAACTGGGCCACTCAGACTAAGCTGACCGATTTTACATCTGGGGCCTTCTCACAAATCTCTATTTATCAAGGATCCCAACTAATAATTTATAGTTCATCTACAGAGAATAAAATGATCTCTGGGTAATTCATTCCTGACTGTAGCCATTCTTTCATTAATAATACTAGATTGCAAATACTGCACTTTTTTATATTGCAGAGATAGCTGTTACTATAATAAGCAACACCACATCTGCCATTGCTTATTATAGTTTACATATTTTAAAAGATTTCAAATCTGAAAATAGAGTATGTAGAGAATATTGGGGCAATAACCTCAATAATTTTAGAGCTGCACCTTTGCAAGCATTAACACCTAGAAAATCCATACAGCAAAAAGAAAAAGAAAAAAAAAACAGCGCAAGCAAAACATCTTAAAGCAATACATTATCTGGTGTTCCGATTCAATGGCACTCAAATGATTTCTGGTCACATACATAGAACAAATTCTAAATATATCCCATGTTTATCCTACATATTTACAATAAAAATCTGATGCAAAAGATACGTAGCAGCATTACCCTAGAGTACTAACCTTACAAAAGCTCGATCACAGCCCATTCCCCAAATTACAGTCCAGCTTAAATAACCAGTTACGACGATTCATGGCCTATTTTTAACCAAACAGAAAATGAAGAGACTCCCTTTCAGCACACAACATTCAAAACATAATCATTTCGCATCACCTCCACATTTCTCAAACTATGTGTCAACTTTAAATCTGCTGTATCGCTCTTCAGTTTCCCATAGCAACCAAATCAGCTGTAGAATGAGAGTGGATGCTGGGATATTTTTGCCAGCATAAGGGCAGCTTGTACGCAGATACAAGTGTAGTCAGATTCCCCTTAGAGCCACAGGAGGAAAAAAAAAAAGCCAGAATAAAATTAGATACCATAGAAAATTACATAACACCAACTGCAGCTTCCGAGATCTTTCATAAATAAAAACAGAACATTGAATATTAAAGCTGCTTGCTGTGAAATATGTTTGAATTCCATAGTTTAAAAGGCTCACAGCCCTGCTACGTTGCAAACTTTGAACCCTGTAGTTCTCAAGTTCCCCACTAGATGGGATTACTGGTTTCAGTTTAACCAACAAGCGTTGGAGCTGGCGTGCAAGACTGTGTGTAAAGCCCGATTGCCCATTGTCTTACATAAATGAAGTGGGTATGAAATGTGCCATGCCTCAGAAGTATATGAAGGAGTACGTACTTTGCCAAGGGCTTTAAAGCATGGTGATTAAAAGCACTATTGAGGAAGAAAATGTATCTACTGTCTGCGAAGAATTCTGAACCTCAACAACCTTAAATCACAAGCAAGCTTGATTTTTCGCTCCAATATTGCTGTAATCTTTTTAAAGCAGAAGCCACGATACATTAAACGGTAGGGGGGGGGGGGAAAGACTTCTGCTGCTTTCCACTTCCGATCTATGTGTGGAGAAGTACACGTCCTGGCAGAAAACTCATTTACACCATCTCCCCATAAGAGACAGCGGCTGCTGAATCCTTCCATATTTCACTTCTGTCATTCATGTTTTCCAAAGGAGCGATGACAGTCTGAAAAAGGCATATGAAAACAATGATTTAAAACAATTTATTAAGACCATTACAGGTGTATACTTAAAAAAGCACATATAATAAATAGCAGTAATAAAACATATTTACTACAAATAAAACTTTAAAATAAGACAGGAGTGAAATGAACTCAATCTGACAGTGTCTGTGACTGGACAGTCATTTTGATGAATAAATGTTTCTGTTGCTCATATTTATGTTCTCTTCAACAGAAATACAATAGATTACAAGGACAAAGAAAACCGCTCACAAGTTCTCAATGCACAGGAATAGTCCTTGAGCATTTTTCAGTAGACACTCATGTTCAGAGCTGCACAGGATCCCAGGTGGCAATGCGAATCTCAGAAACCGGCCAACGAGGAGAATCTCTATATCGCCTCCTGGGGGCAGGAATCTGTAACTGCAAGGCCGGTGAGGAGATGCCGGATTTGTCATCAGCGATACCCTTAGATGTCACATCAGTCGTGTCATCCGCAGACAAAGGTGGTGTGTAGTCAAAGCAGAGCTCATTCTGCAGAGGAGAGTCACCACGTGTTCTCATGTGCAGGGTGGAGCAGCTGCCCAAGTCTGGAGGTGGTGTCTGGCTCTCGTGGGTGGAGATGTACACGTTGCTATCGAGCCCATCGTTTACGTGTGCATCTGTACTGGGGTGCAGGAGAGTGACAGGGGAAAGGAGACAAAGAGGTCTGACTCGCTGCAGGAACTCCTGCTGGGAAGAAATGAAGGTTGGACACAGGACATCCTTGGGATTATCCAGCTGGGACTGCGACTGCAACTTCAGCGATATCTCTGGTTCTTCCGCTGACTCTGACCGGTTCAGATGAAGCTGTAACTCTAGACGCCGGTGTAGGTCCATCTCTTCTGGTGGTTGTTCCTGCCCTAGCGGCTGCCTCTGTGATCCCTGCTGCTTGGTACGGTAGTGCGGCATCTTGGCCACCTGTAGTCGCAGTTGCTCATGACTTGACAGTCTCTCTCCTCCCAGGTTGCGCAGCTGACGCAGCACGTCCTGCTCCTTCTCCCAGGGGCTGTGCTGCCCTCGGCGCTGGTGTTGCTGGGACTGGCCCTGAGGACGGGGTGGGGCAGGCGGCAGCCACTGTCGGTCTTGAGATGAATTTCCGGGTTTTGTTGGTCTCAGAAGCTCTGGACGTGGCGGCTGCTTCAGGTCCGGCCTCTGCAGCAGGACGGACACTCCTTCGTGACTTATGGATCGACTGAACCTGCGTGCCCCCTGCCTACGCAGGCGGACTGGGCCCCTCGAACCAGGGGCCTGCGGTGCCTCCGGAGGTACGATGCCCTTCTGGGTGACAGTGGGGACAGTCAAAGCCCGGGACGCCCTCAGCCAACCAGTCAGCATGTTGAACCGGCGCACATGCTCAGCCACAGACAGGCGCTGGCTGGACTTTTTATAACCCTCATCCTCAGCAAGAGTTTCTGCCTCTCCAGCCTTCTTGTTCCTCTCTGGCCCTAGGCATTGCTCTAGCTTTAAGTTCGCCTGCCACTTCGCCCCTACTCCCGTATCTTCCAGCGTTAAAGCTGTACCGCTGCTCTGCAGCTGCCTTGCCGCATCCCCTGTGCTGTCAGGTACAGGGCAGTCACATTCATGGAAATCAGCACTAGTAAACTCTCTGCCTCCCTCCTCCTCCTCGTCCTCTTCCCCCCGACTAGCCGCTGGTCCAGCAGAGACATCAGGCAGGCTGATGGAACGCCGAGGTGGGCGGCTGGCCCTCCGAAAGACATCCGCACCCTGACACGGCACTCCCCGACTACAACACCCACAATTCTCCCTTTCGAACCCCTGCTCTTCTGCAATAGTCTGTATAACGGTCTCTTCAAGTATGACGCTGCTCTCCTTTACCGCGCCCCGCTCTGCTTCCCCTTCCGTCCTCATGACGGCACAGTGCACTCCAACTTCTCCATCGTTGGCTCCACTCTGGGATTTCGAATCTGCCTCTTTGACCAATCGCCCGCTGCCCGCTTCTTCTGGAGGCGGAGTCACCGGAGCATCTGTGCACAAGTAGTGAGAAGACTCTTTGGCAAAGCTGCAGTTCAGGAGATCAGGGTCACCGTCCACTTCGGTTTCCACTGCCGCTAGAAAGAGTCACAGGGTCCATCTTAGCATGAAGATTCATACAACCAGCTAAGAAGTAAAATCTGTCGCCCAGATGTAAACACTTCCTGGTTAGAATGTCTAATGATGTGGCAACATGAAAAAATGAAAATATACCAAATGACCGCCAATAAAATGCACAGGCAGTTTGATGGCAACATCAACAATATTCATTGGTTAGTAACTGAAGTGATAACCAAAAATAAATAGCTATGGAAAGATGGAGAAATATTGCATAAAAATTTGATTAAAATCAAAAGTCAAGACCCCGAGGATGACATTAACTGTTGAAAACTTGAAAGTGAAGTGTACATGCTGATGTAAAAACAGATTAAAAGTTGACCAACAATAAAATAATCCAAACCTTTTCCTGAAGCCTCAATCACAATTATGGGAATCTTAAATTGCACCGCCCCTTCAGCACTCATTGGCTCACTTGTACTGTCAATCACCTTTCCGCTACTTGTTAACCAGTTGTCAGCGTCACAGTCACTTGGTACAGCTGTATTCTGCAGATCAACAATGGCAGTGAATTAAACATACTGTCAAGAAACACAGACGGCATACTGATGCTACTGTTTACGAGTGAAATCTACAAGTGAATAATCATCTGGGCAATTTTAACTCTGCATTTTCACATCCAGTTTTAAAACACTGACATCAGTCGGCACCCAAACACCATATCAGATCTGCTAATATGAGCCACTGCTCAGAGGGCAACGATAAACACTGTTCACACGGCCGAGAGAGCTCATTAGCACCACACGTTCATGTGAACATTCGCTGGCAAGTAATCACACTAGAATTTGGGTAACCCCAAGGGGCGGTATCATAGCAGAAGGGTGCAGGGCCTGATGCAGCATAAAAGAAAAAGATGAAAAGATCAACACCAAGATGGCAACCACAAGTGGGTCAAGGCGCAATTACAAGATGATAAGTGACAACTCAGGAACCACGTGGTGGACCTGCTCCTAGTCAACCCCTCCCCCCGCCCCATACCCAAGTGAACTGAAACACAGAAGCTAGAGACGTACAGGGCTGCTCCAGCTGGCCAAAGTGAAGAAACGTAGTGACCTCCTCCTCCTCCTCCTCCTCTCCTCTCCATTCTCCTGAGCTGGGTACCTGAGATGCCAACAGCAGAGGTGGACATTTCAGCTTCAAAAAGTGAAAATCCAGACCAGGTTTTTATTTCAACCAACCAGTTCAACTGGTTGGTTAAAACAAAATCCTGGTCTGGATTTTTACTTTCTGGAACTGAAATGTCCACCTCTGACCAACGGCATATGGGTTAACACACTAAGACAAGCTGACATGGAAAATGCCCTGAGGAGAAAGACTACCGTATTTTTCGGACCATAAGGCGCACCTAGTTGTAGGGGAGGGAAATGAAGAAAAAAAAAATTCTGAACCAAATAGTGTCCTACAATATTTTACGTCAACCATGTACAGTGAACAGTAGTCAACAGCAGCATTAAGAACCATTATCACTGTTATTAACAAATTAAGTCAGTAAAAAACAAGTACAAAGAAACAAGGAGACACTTCAGTAACAAAAAAACTTTCATGTGTATGAATGATCCATTGACACCTGGCCATTGACACCTGGCCTCCCCCCTTTTATGGCGCTGATGGGGATGTATCTGGATCGTGTTTCACTGTTGCGTTGTTCACCAAATTACCACG